TGTGTGTGTGTGTGTGTGTGTGTGTGTGTGTGTGTGAGGGAGGGAGGGGAAACTCAACTTTCTAGCTTCTCAGTTGTGTAAAAATGTAATAGTTTCTTCAAATGACCGGGGTGGTCGAAGACTAATCTATGGTGGCTAAGGCCACCGTTGGCCACCCTCTGTCTCCTCCTTTGCACCTGTGGATAAAATTGCTCTTCCAGCTCACCAGGACTCGTCACTCTGCTCTGCCTGGGACAAAACAAAAACAACTCCCTCAGTTCGTTTAGTGGAACTTCTACCCAGTTGAATATCTTGCACCAAAAACATTTAGGTTTACTTTCATTCTCTGTTCAAATATCCAGAAAGATCAGATAGAACTTTGTTGATCCCGCAAGAAATTGTTGAACACTCTCATCTTGAAAATTACAAAACATTCACTCTTCACATCCTCCAGTGATGGGAACATCAGTGTACCTCGTTTAAAATGAACTTTATGTATTTTGTGCACCTGAGAAACGTTTGGGAGGAACTTCATATTGTTTGTCATGTAGAGGAACACATTGTGAATAATAGCAATAATAACCAGTGAGGAAGAAAGTAAGTTTCATATCTTACCAAGATATGAAACTTACTGTGATAAGTTTCATATCACGAATGCTAACAACAGCGTTCAGGATGTCAGTCATCACAGTATTGTAGTTTATGTGGCCACAGTGTGTTCGGTTTTTCTTTTCTTTTACAGAGGCTCAATTTTGTCACTTCCACAGTGTGGCACACTGATTTATTATTTTTAAAGGTTAGTTTTCCTTGTGGTTTTTGCTCCGTCTGAGTCAGTCTTCTGAACAGAACTTTAATTTCTGGATGCTCTGTTGGAGTTTATTTGTTGAAAGCCTTCCAGTACGTCTGGATTTGGGCCTTTAGAGAAATCCCTAAAGCTACACGATGAGTGAGTTCTTAGAATTCCTCTTGTGCGCTGATTGAATCTAATCTTTAGTCTCTTGCTGAATAAACTGTGCTGAGCGGTACCAGCAGAACCAACCCAGCCGGGCTCACTGTGTTTTTGTTTGTCCTGACAGGTTCCTGAACAGCCTGGGGACCGTCTTTGGCTTCATTTCTAAGGATGCTGTGAGTAAGGTCCAGATACTGACGAGCTTTCTGAATGGTGAAAACGGCTCTCAGTATGTCACTGTTCAGTCCATGGTCCAGTACGAGCTGCAGAACCAGCTGGTGGATGTGAACAAGACCGGCATCCACCCAGAGTCTGGCTGCCGCACTCTGCTCAGACTCCACCGTGCCCTCCGGTGGCTGGAGCTCTTCCTGGAGCGCCTCCGGACCTGCAGCAACGACAGCAAGACATCCGTCATGTGCTCAGAGGCCTACAACGAGTCCCTGGCCCAGCACCACCCGTGGGTGGTGCGCAAGGTAACGGGCGTGGCTTTTCTGGTCCTGCCAAGTCGTGCCACTTTCTTTGAGATTATGAACGTCGGCCCCCCCGAGCAGGTGGTATCTGTGCTGGGGGAGGCTTTGCCTCTTATCTCTGAGGTATACCAGCTCACTGAAGAACTTTACGCTAAACACAACCTGCTGGACCTGCCCTAGAGGAGCACGTGCTCAATACGTGTGCACGGTGCCTGCTGAGCTGCTGCTGTTCATCATTTCCAGGTTTTATGATGACGCTGCACGTTTGTGTCTCAGTGAGGTGCATCTTTACACTGAACACTTTCTGCTGGATTCTGTTGACTGGCGATCAGCAGTGGGACATAAACATCTGCTTCCAGCTGAAAGAAGAGCTTCAAGTCAAACCACCAGGTTATTGTTCGGTGTTCACGTTACGTTCATTACGTTAATCAGGTCTCTCTTGTAAATGAGTCCTCGAGGCTCAGTGGGATTTATCTGTATAAATAAAGGTTGAATGAATGAAAAATCACGTTCCATTTAACGAGGAACTCAACAATTAGATGATTTATCAGCAAGAAAACATCAAATATTTCAGTTTTTAGATTGCGATCTTTTAGGTAAGCTATTTTCTGCTTTAAATTAGACATTAAAACATTTTCATTCTTGAGAGATTACATGCAAAACAAATATTGAAAAGCTTAAACAATTGTAGAAGTATTAGTTTCATATTGATATATGCTTTATTACCATGTCATTTAAAAAATAAATGAGTACTTAAATGATAACAAAATGCAGAATTTAATTTGGAAAAAAGAAAAGTTTAAAGCACTAAAGATGTTGTTTTAATAAATAAATAAAACAATAACTATATGAAAAAGCAGTGTTTAGTCAGTCATCAGTTCTCTGTTCACTCTTCTTTCATTTAGTTCAGTAGAGATGTGTTGTTAGGCCTCTACAGGATGATGGTGTAATTTATCTTTAATGGTAAAAATCACAGCATGTGTGTTTTATTGTTAATGTATTGGTTTGAAGGCTGATATCAATTTATATCCTCAAATGTGCTGGTAAGTTATTTATCTTAAGTAAATAAAAAACACTGTAATGTTTATAAAATATGTATACGAATATGGCAGCTGAAATTTTTTTTTTTTGCTGGTATTTTTTTAATAAATATACTGCAGAAAAATCTATACATTGCAGTGAAAATGTTCTTTTAATTGTCGTTTTTTTTTCCATTTTTTGTGAGACAGTGAACTTCTGTCTGAAACTGACATATTTAAATAAACACTCCATTTGAACAATAATAAAAATTATTATAACACTCGGGTGTTGTTCGGTGACTTGTAAAATGATGAAATGACACAAAGTTCAAATAATGTGATGTTTTTGTTTTTCTGAAACGTGTAGAAGTGTAATGTAAAAGTAGTCGGGGTTAAAGCTCAAAATGTTAGCTGCAGTTGCAGTCCTTTACCACCAAGTGTCACTCTAGAGCCAATGAGTTGCCATAGCTACTGTGTTGCTTCGACCATAGATATAAACACTTATATGAAAATGCTTTTATATGATATCTATGGCTACGACTGACGACACCATTGATCCGAGAAGGGACACACCACACCATTGATAAAGGGTCCCAATCACATCCGTTGAATTGTGGAAAGTAAATAAAATTTACTATATAACACCAACATTTTTCAGTCAGGTCTGAACAGTTTCTTTTTTTTTTTTTGTGCTGAAATGTTTCACCTTCGGTCCAGAAGTCTTCATCATCAGTCAAGGAAACACACAACAAAACTGATTCTTCCCCCAACAGCTTACTCCAAAGTGGAACAAACCAGTTTTGCTTGTGATAAGATGGTCTCTTTGGTACGCCCCCTCCTCCATTGCCGACCCTCTTCCTTGTTGACAGTCTTGTCAAACTGGTTGAAAACAACAAAGTCCATGCTCAATAATCCAGGTATACAATCCAACAAATTGGATTGTATACCTGGATTTTTGAGCATGGTTCTTCTTGTTACTATATAACGGTTTTAATTTCTAACATTTTACCTAACTGGTTTACAACTTGAAGCTTAAAGTAGTTATAACTATTATTTTTGCTCATGTCTGCAGCTAAATGTGATTAGCTGGTCGATGGCAAAGAATCTATGTTCCCTACAAGACTCAAGTCGTCCAGGGGACGAAGCAGAGTCGTCATAAAGAGCTTACTGATGTAGTGAACTTGACCTAAGGTCAAAACCCTTGACCTTAAGAACCTTGTGGGACAGAAACTGTCATTTCATTGATTTGAATCCAGAAATACAGGTTCACCCATCCTGAGACTTTCTTTCTTGAAAATTCAAGTGAAAGAACACTCTCTTTTCTATTATCATTACTGTTTTACAAATGTTTGATAATCAAAGTGTTTTAGTTCAAACATTTTAGATGTTACAGGGAACTAATCAATTTTATTAACTATAAAACAGTAACAATGATTTTTTAGTTGCTTATGCAAAGTAGAATTCATGTTAAGGCCTGTTACAGAGTAATTATGCATTTTCTGATTTCTGTCTTTGAATGAGCAGTGTACGTTTTCCAAGGTCAGGAGTCGAAGCAGACAAGTGTTGGAACAACTGTCTTGTTTTAAATCCTCTCAGACGTAAACAGAGAAGTTGGCACCTGTTTCTCCAAACTCGCCCAAACATTTCTCTCGCCTGTCTGGGAACATTTTCAATCTGTTCCAATAACATTCTTGCTGTTTTCTGACTTCTAGTAACCTCTTACATCACAAAACACACCCCTGTCTGGTTGATATTGACCAATCAGGAAGACTCCCAAATGAACCGGAGATAGAGCTCTTTAAAATGTCGGTACTTCCTAGTTCTCCCAGCTCGGTGAAGTGGCAGTTCTGAGATGTTCGCAGTTCTGTGAAGTCGTTGTTCTGTGAGTTGCCGTTGGAGTCGGGCTGGAGAGTTTGCAGCTCCAGTCGTTTGGGAGAACAGAAGTCCAGCCATGATAAGGCTCTTCCGAGTTTGGATTATAACATCTTCCACCTCTGAGTGGAACTTCTGAAGAACCCCACTCATGTGAAGTCCACCCGGTGAGGTGAACTGTTGTTGACGAAGCCCCGTCACCACTCCGGATGTATCTCTGCCATCCTACGGAGACGCTGAAAGGTAGCGTTAACTGGAGCTCCTCTTCTTCTGATCCATCGTCAGAGAGGTAAATGAGTCTAGTCCACTACTGAGCGTACCGAGGAAAAGCTGGGTCGGATGGAGGGTGTCGTCCTGTCAACACTTTTCACTCATACACACCACATTCTCCCTCATCCATCTTTCACTCCCACTAAACTTCATCTTTCCATCTTTAAAAATTATTCTATCAAGTAGAAATCATTCCAGATATTTTAGAAATGTCTGTGTAAAGTGCTCATTCCACCGCCGTGTGGATTGATGTCTGCTGTTCTGCTGAAAAGTGAAAACAATCGCCGTATTGTTTCTCACTACCTGTAAAGCTGATTAATTATGTTGTTATTTTCATATTTTGCCAAATTAATGTAAATGTTTGATGTTAAACTTTGATTCTGTAAATAAATGGCCACATTCATTTTGATGGGTCAAAGATAAATAACGTCTCACGTTACATTTTATTAAATTCAATGCACGTTATATTCAATCCAGAAAAATGAAGAACCCGTTTAATGTATGAATATATCTCTGGATATGTCATACTACATACTGGTGGCCCGTCTACGTGTTCATAAATGGACTGTTGTATACGTGTAAATATTGAATATTTCATGTTGGCATGAAAAAAGTGCAGAGTAGCTGTGTTGAAACGCAGCGTGCCTCAGCTGCAGCGCTTGTGGGAAAACACTGCATTTTTACGCTTAATGCTTTGAAGCTGATACCGAGTCATTGAGTCTTTATGAAAGCTGAAATTGTACATCTGTTGTGTAACATAAGCTGTGTTTGAGCTGTGGAAACGCTTTATTCTGTTTAAACTGTGTTCCAGACGCTGTTCTGGTTCCGGCTCGGTTCTGAGAAAGATCGAACGAGTTGTTTTAAATGGTGGGAAAGACGTTTTTAATGCCGGGGCGCCGACTCCGTGCAGCTCAGAACTTGATTCGTGACACTTGTAACAGAAATTGGTGCATTTTGACAGTTTAAAAGGCGAAAAGTTGACGGACTTGTTCAGATAAAAGTAACATGCTAGTTGGAAAAACGCTGCGTGATTGGTTGAATTCAGCTGAGTTAGCTGCTGTGTAACGCTTTCATTGGCTGGGAGACGTGTCAGTAGTGACTAACTCTGACGTGTCAGGTCGTGTTGCTCTGTCATTGGTGGATTCAGTCACGTGACCCGGAAATGAAAACTCGTTTTTCATAGGGATTAAAATCTGCTTTTTAAAGTTCAAAAACGCTTTGAAAGCTGTATTCTGATCAGCTGTTAGTTCTTCGAAGTCTAATTGCTAAAATTTTGCCACGTTTGAGTAAAAAATCCGTTCAGAAATGTTGGTTTTAACCGAGTCTAGCCGCTACTAATTTTACGCTAACAGCTAACGACCGGATGCCACAGGAAGTCATAGCGACTACTACTGGACATCACTAACAGTGTCTGGGTTGCAATAAAATGAGGTTATGCTGCCACCTCCTGTGGAGACTTGAGATCACAGGTTTTCACTTCGTTTTAGGTTATTTTTGAGTGAAATTAAACGTATTTTCTTTCTGTAAGGCATTTTTGAGTTAATAAACGTTCCTCAAAGCTGAATAATCACTGTTATCTGCATTTAAAAAGTATTTCAGGTATTTATGCAGAAAGGCATTTACTAAGACGCTTTTAATCACTGGTAATTCCTTATAAAAAGGTACAAAATAAAAGTTAGAAACTTTTAAAAAAAAAAATACAGATACAAATATTCACAGGGATAAACGTTTGCTCATTTGCTGGAGAGATAATACACGTTTAATTGCTAGATCATTAAATAAGAGTAAATATATCAGAAGAGAGAGACTCTTCTGATTTTATCTTACCACCTAAAACAACACATTCTACTATTTAATTTTAAATAGCAGATAATGGAGGACGAAGGCGTAAACACTGGCCTCTTGCACTCCCAAGATGCCGTCCAAACGGCTTTACATATTTTGACAAATTCAATTATTAGTAAACAATTAGGGCAATTAGAAGACCTTGATGAAAATCAAAGAGATGAAGAACTGCAA